AGAATTTTAGTTGTTCACATCACTATAACCAGCTCATGAAGAAGTGCCAGTGAAATTCAAGGGCTTCAACAGCAGAAAAGAATGAACTTCCCCTAGAGCAGTGGCCGGAAAAATGCGGCTCACGAGCCACATGTGGCTCTTTGGCCCCTTGAGTGTGGCTCTTCCACAAAATACCACGTGCGGGCGTGCATGTACAGTGCAATTGAAACTTCGTGGCCCATGCGCAGAAGTTGGTATTTTGTGGAAGAGCCACACTCAAGGGGCCAAAGAGCCGCATGTGGCTCGCGAGCCGCAGTTTGCCGACCACTGCCCTAGAGGTCTGCCAATATGACCCAGCTCCAACTATTTCCAGACTCAGAGTTTCTTCCTTCAAAACTCTATATTCCTGGAAAAGAAAACCCAAATGGCACAGCAGCCACTCCTGCTCCCAGCAGCTGTGCCATGGGGTAGAGGTTTATTGGAGGGTGGATTATAATATAGAGCAGTTTCTCAGGCAAGGACCTATAGTTATGAGCTGAGTTAGATGCCTCTAAAACTGTCAACATTTCCACCTAGAGCTGCTTGGCTATCAATCATTTCTTCCCACACAGGTAAAATATGTCCTGCTACCATAATCCAAAAACATTATGCACTATTCTAGCACAGCCCCCTCTCTGAATAGCAGACCATGGAATTCATGGATAATGCCAGAGTGCCAGGCTTCTCAGAGTCTACTATCTCCACATAATAACTGTTTCTCCTTTGGTTATTTAGCCCATCTAACTATTCTGCAATCCATAAAATAAATAATAAATCCAGAATACACCCAAACACTATGAAGTCAAGACAAGGAAGGAAGAGGGGAAATTTTTTAGTAACTCTAGAAGAAAATGGTTATCTGCTCAAGGGGCATTTCCTTGCTCTAGAATTCAGTGGGCTCCTGCTGTAAGTTCTCAATCAAGGCCAGCCACAGTCTACATCCATCATCACAGTCTACTTCAGACCCTTTGAACTATGTAAGATACAATTGGTCATAAGAGGTCCAGTGGCAGAGCAACTTGCCTGCAACCTAGACCAGTGGTGGAGCTTTCTGTTGTCCAGGGTCCCACTGGAAGTCATTGCTTTTACAGTTATCAATCAAATGGGAGGCAGCTGGATACCCTCATGTGTGGGACACTGCCTCCAAAATCTAAAGTAGCCCAAGAGAGTTATGCCTCTCTCTTATTTGTAGCAGGCATAAAGTATTGGTTCTTAAATTGGCTGCATTCTGGAATTACCAGGAGAGCTAATATTGATGCTTGGTTTTGACCCCAAAGAGTCTGACTCAATTGGTATGGGGTAGACACTGGAACTTTAAAAGCCTTCCCAGGTAGGCCTTGACGTGGTAGCTCAGTTGGTTAGAGCATCATACTGATACACCAAGGTTTTGGGTTTGATTCCAGGTCAGGGCATATATAAGAATCAATGAATGCATGAATGGGTGGGGCAGCAGGTCGATCTCTCTCTCTCTCTCTCTAAAAATCAATAAGTTTAAGATAACCTTTTAAAAAATACATTTTTAATTGATTTCAGAGAGGAAGGGAGAGGGAGAGAGACAGAAACATCAATGATGAGAGAGAATCATTGATCGGCTGCCTCCTGAACATCCCACACTGGGGATCAAGACCACAAACCAGGCATGTGCCCTGACCGGGAATTGAACCGTGACCTCTTGGTGTATAGGTCGATGCTCAACCACTCAACCATGCTGGCCTGGCTAAAAATCAATACATTTAAAAAGTAAAAAGATCTTCTGGGGAGAAAAAACACACACCTTTCCAGGATAAGAGGATTCTGGGAATATGGTAGAATAGGAAGCACCAGGAAATCTGTCTCCTCAGCTAGACAATAATTGCACTGGCAAAAATCTGTTTGATGTAACTATTTTGGAACTCTGGAGTCTATAGAAACTTGAATGGCAAACTAAGGTTAATTTCAACTCTTCACACAGTAGCAGCGACTCATTCTCCACTTCCAGCCATCTGGTAGGCAGTTGTGCATGTGTTCCTGGAGCAGTTTGCATGCAGCTTATGCAAGCCAGGGTGGGCGTAAAGGGCCCTCTCCTTCACATATCAGGAACCTGTGCTCTGATTGCTAAATGTTGCTTCTGATCATGGAGGTACAGACAAACAGGCAGCAGCCATTGGTGTTGCACCTTCTCCCATTGTTGCGGTATTTTATGGAAGAGCCACACTCAAGGGGCCAAAGAGCCACATGTGGCTCCCTTTCCCCTCCAGTTGAGGTGACTTCCAGTTGAGGTGACTTCCAGGGGGTTTAAAGTGCCAGTGCCCCTTTGTTCTCCCTTCACTTTCTGTCAGAGACCACCTATCGTCTTCACTAGCAGAGAAGAGTAGAGACCCCCAAAGCTAGTGACCTTTGAAGCCCTAGCAAAGGTCGGAGCTGTGCACCACCCAGTTAATCTAGATAATGGTAGCTGAAGCATCATCCCCACCTTAATTCACTTAATTCCTTAGATACTCATGTAAATCTTTGTTGACTATTGTTGATTAGATATTCTGCCTATTTCTGGAAATTGTCTGCTGATGAGCTAATCTGTGTGTCATTGAAACCTCCTTACCCTAGGGCTACCCCAGATCAAATAAAAGGTTGGAGCAGCCTGAGCATCGGTGGAAGTCCTTCTGGACTTGCCCGCCTGGTCCCCCAATATTTCCAAATTATCTCATCTCTTCTCTCTCTCATTTGTGTGCGGCTCCTCTTTCAGACCCGAACCCTGAACCACACAGGACGTGGAGGGAAACACACTCGACAACTTTCCCTCCTTTGAAGGCATATATTAAAGAATAGAACATTCAAAAACAACTACATACATGGGGAAAATTAGTAAATGACTATGCATACTCAGGGAAAGGCTCTGAAAAGACCTTATGTTACACTTGGGCTGATCCTTGGCACAAAGACAGCTTACAACAACCAAAAAGGCAAAATCAATGAATGAAAACGAACAAAAAACAGCTAAACTCGGGGGGAGGGAGATAATCTTATTTACAGAGTTACCACAGTATTAGATTCAAATGTAGAATTTCAGTTAAAAAAATCACAAGGCATACAAAGAAACAGTAAAGTATGGCCCATTCAAAGAAAAAAATAAACTGTTCTCAGAAATGACCCTGACAAAGACTTTAAAACAACTGTCAAAGATGCTCAAAACTATAGGATGATTGGGAAAAAGAAAGTCAAGAAAACACTGTACAGTAGTTCCTCGGGTTACATCAGAGATCAGTTCCTGCGGCGTGACGTAATTCAATTTTCGCTGTAAGTCGGAACCCACCTACATAAAGCACCTACGTCAGTCACATGGAACACATACACAGCAGTAATGAAGTGAAACAGTAAACAAAATTTAAAAGAAAGATAAAAATTCCTGACTTTTACTTGTGGTAAATAAATAATAAAAAACATAAAGCACATATGTACATACATCAAAATGATGGAACTTTTTTATATATATAAATAAATGGGAGATGGCAATGTAACCACGAAACGACGTACTTCAAGTCCTATGTAACCCGAGGGCTGCCTGTATAAACAAAATGGAACTATCAATAAAGAGTGAGAAAATAAAAAAGAAATAATAAAGCATTCTAGAGCTGAAAATTATAATAATTGCAATGAAAAATTCACTAGGGGGATTTAAAAGCAAATTTGAGCAGGCAGAAGAAAGAATCAGTGAAGTTGAAGATAGGACAATAGAAATTATTAAGTCTGAGGAACAGAAAAAAAGATAGAAGAAAAGTGAATAGTGCCTCAGAGACCTATTAGATGCCATTAAGTGACTCAAAGGGGCACAAGAAAAGTTATTGGGCAATGGAGGTTTTCTATATCTTAATTAAGGTGCTTTTTACATACATGTGTGCATGTGTAACAAAGCCAGTAAAGTGTACAAACAAACTATTTTTACTTTAAGTAAATTATACTTTATGTCAATATATATATATATATATATATATATATATATATATATGGCTAATATGCTAAGTGTCTGACCATCTGACTGGTCGCTATGACATGCACTGCCACCAGGGGTCAGACACTCAATGCAGGAGCTGCTGTGACGCGCACTGGCCATTTACAGAGACACAGCACCATGGACCTGGTGCCGACAAAGCAACACTCGGCTTCCCCCAATTGGGGCACAGGCCCTGCCACCACCCCAGAGCGACACCCCACCAAATCGCAGTCGATACTTCCAAGACCCCTATGGAGCAAAATGTGGCCCACAGCCCAGCCCAGCCCTGAAATGGTGGCTATGGGCGCCAGGTAATGATGTCACATAGCAATGCCTGGCTTCCTCTCCCTAGCGACTAGCCTCCTTGCAGTTTCTTCAGCCCAGGAACACAACTTGTTTTATAGCCAGGTGGAAACATTTTATACTTTAACCAAATGTCTTTGAAGTGTTTTCCCATGCCTCATCTCATTTGATCCTCACAGAAGTCCTGGAGTAGGTAGATAGGAGACTCAGTGGAATCCTATTTTCTTTTTATTAGCTGGAAAATGGAGATTTAGAACGCTTAGAAACTTGACCCAACTGAAAAGAAGTAATAAATGGTGGACCATGAAAATGACTTCAGGTTTTCTCACTGTGCAGAATATAGTCAAACACTGCTGCAGTTAAATATTTTACCATTTGTTTTCCCTGCATGATCTACAATAATAATCTGCTTCGTGTTGATATTTACTGCTGAGTTGCTGACAATTACCTGAAAGAGAAGTTGGGGTGCTTCACTGGGCTGGAAAAAGTTTAGCTAAATCAGAAAGCAGGTCTAAGTTTATCTATATATATAAAGCTCTTGCTGGTACCAATTGCACGCGTGTTTCCATCTGTCATTGTCATTCATGAATTTGGTTGACATGTCTATTACAGAGAAAGGGTGAATAGCGATATTAAAATATTTCTTCTAATTAATTTCCTTTCAATGTGCACAAATTCATGCACCAGGCCTCTAGTATATTATGAAGCTTTAAAAAACCGACAAGAAAGAAACTTATATGATCCTACTTGTTTTTTAATGGGACAAAATCCAGTCCCCTGATAATGATAAAGAGAAGTTACAAGCATGTGAATTGTTATGATTGCAAGTATCTAGTTATTTCATCATCAAGAGAATCTGATGACATCATCATTCACAGAAGACTGAAATAATAAACACAAAAACTGGAGAGTACCATAGAACCAATATTAGGTTATCTGATTTATGATTTTTCAAAGGTCTTAAAAGTTCTTGCTTGAAAACTGTCTGCCCTCTTAAGATTCTCCATATGTCTTCCCAAACCACTATACCATAAATGTTAAGTCTTCAAGGAAGAAACTGTATAAAATTCCTGCATGATCTTAGGAAAACAAAAGGTAAGAGTTTGTCTCTAATTTCAACCAAATTAAGCCATAGCCAATTTCTTTTCTGCACACAACTTTATTTCCACAGATTAAATATTACAAAGGAGTTTTATAAACTTGATGGCTGAAATTCCAAGGTCAATGAACAAATAATCTAAAAATTATAGTTTAGCCTCCAGTGAGTGCTCTGAACCAATTATATATTCAAATACTTTGAGAAGGGGCACATATTTTATACTGTTATCAGTTCTATCACCTATCTTAGAATGATCAACTTCATAAGATTATTTAATTACAAATAATTAAGTTTTCTTTATAATTATACAACTCTTTAGAGTCCAAGTATTTTCATAATTATCTCTTTTCTCTGACACCCCATTCTGAAAGAGTTAGGAGAGGAAGTGGTGTAATTTTTCTGTAGAAAAGAGTCCTTTGTACTTTAGAGAAGATGAATGAAGTTTATAAGATCTCTTGTATCAAGACCAGACCAGTTAATATCCTACCACTGGGTGGATAGTTCAAATAGATGGTGTCTCTTCACTGACTCAATTCTATTTCCATATAAAGCAACATCCAATGACCAGAGGTGCCTTAAATCCCAGATAAAATTTATTAAGTCATCTAGTTTAAGTCATAAGAGACAGGATTCAACACAGCTTATTCTCTATACATTGTACTTTATTTAATCTACTTTAATGTTTCTTTTTCCTCCTAGTAAAGAATGAGATACAAAAGAAAAATTCTATTATTATTCATTTTATTATCTCTATGGGCCTTGCAAAGAGAGTATCGATTCAGGTAACTTTAAAAAATAATGAATATTTTATTTTGGTGTTTGGTTTAAGGATCTGGTTATGTCAGGAAGGTTATAGGTTCATCCCCTGAATAAATCAGCATGCAACTGTATCAATCCAAATACACCCAGATATATCCAAATGACATCCAAATATGTCAGCATAAATATTGCCTTCAGCATAAAAATTCTTTGTTTCTAATGAAGTCAGAGCTAAATGTAATTTGTGTAGGCCAATATGTGTGAGGAGAAGCAATGTTAAACTGCCAAGACAGTTACTGTATAATTATGGCAATGTAATGTTAGTAAATATTATGGAGAAATTTGAGCCATTTTTAAATAGGTGGCATCTTCTTTAAGTGACATCCTTAAGCCTACCTGGTTTTGTTCAGTGGATAGAGCATCGGACTGTGGACTGAAGGGTCCCAGGTTCAATTCCTGTCAAGGGCACATGCCTGGGTTGTGGGCTCAATCCCCAGTAGGGGGCATGCAGGAGGCAACCGATTAATAATTCTCTCTCATCATTGATGTTTCTATCTCTCTATCCCTCTCCCTTCCTCTCTAAAATCAATAAAAATATTTTTTTAAAAAGAAACATCCTTAATATTGGTGTCTTCAGGCACTATGTATGGTATTTGCCCTCCACATATTTGAGACAAGCAGAAAGATTTCATTTGCTATTAGCAAATTTCATTGTTTTAATGATAAGTAAGTTTTTCTCATTTGTATCTAAAAATAGTTATTTTTTAAGATATAGCATATGAGTAATATTTATCAGTCAAATCACCTCAGTAACTTTTATCATGTTCATTACTGTACTCTACAACCAACAATGTACTTGGCATATAGTATTGTGTCTTGGTCCATTTGGGCTGGATGGCTTATGAACAACAAATTTATTTTTCTCAGTTTTGGAGGCTGGCAAGTACAAGATCAAGGAGCCAGCAGATTTACTGTCTGGTGAAGGCCTGTTCCTGGTTCATAGAGAGCCATCCTCTCACCATGTCTTCATATGGTGGAAGGGGTGAAGGAGCTCTCTGGAATCTCTTAAAAAGGCATTCCCATTCAAGAGGGCTTCACCCTCCTGACCTAATCATCCACAAAGGCCCTACCTTCTAATACTATCACATTGGAAATTAGGATTTCAACATATGAATTTGAGAGGGACACAAACATTCTGTCCATAACAGTATGCGTTCATTAAGTATTTGGTAATATTAGGTAAAATTAGGTAATAAAATGAATAGATTGAGTATAACTCTAGTCATCTTAAATGTGAAAACCCTTTATATAAGTTTAAAAGTAAATAAATGTGTTTTTTTTATTTATCCTAAGCACAAAGAAACTACAGAGGACATATCAATGCTGGTAAGTACTTATAAATATGCTATGACCTCTTCTTTGAGGACAAAACTGGTTAGAGGGCACTGAAAAACCTGCAAGTCCTTGGTTCCTGCAGGCAAGGTAAACCAAAGCAGTTTTACAAACACATGTTGGAGATACTCGTTTAAGGTCAGAATACTAGGAGTCAAAGAAGAGCAGACTGACAAAGTTGCTGCCTCTGACAGAGGAGTGGGAAATGGTGAGGGGAACGAGTTACAGGAATCAGAATTCAGCCTGTAGGAATCTTGTGCCTTTCAAAGCTAAGGGCAACACACAGGAATCAAGTTTTGGCTAAAAGACTCTCAGGAGATTGCATTAACCCTATGCCACCTACCAAATCATGCCATCAGAATGTGTGCAGAAAGGAAAACTTCCCCAAATACTGCGCAAGATCTAATATCATTTATGTTCTTCAATTTCTTCTAGTCATGGGAACCCACATAGTGAAGTGAAAGCAACTTTCCTTTCTGATGCTTATTGTGTCCAGGGGCCTTGTCTCTCTGATAGTTCTTTGATTTACAAGACCCCCACTAAGACCATGACTCCATACTTGGGTGAGCTGTGTTATGCATGAAAATAATATAGTAAGAAGGCTTTCATGTGCTAGGCAGAGTATATTTCCCCTATAAATAGCCATGACTAACAGGGGCAGTAACTTTCAACCACCTGAAAATAGAGGAGGAATGGGTTAAAATGTTTTCTGGCAAAATGTATTCAATGAAATACAATCTAACAATTGTTCTATTACCTAATCAGAATTCTATAGCCCTATCATACTAATACTCATCATTCAAAGGCATCGTTGTCAATGGAAGTGGGTGTTAGGTCGAATGCCACAACTCATTCACACTTCTGATGTTGCAGCTACTCTTATCTGTGTACTAGGCACAAAGACAGTCCCCTGGGCATAAGATTTAACCCTATCCTCTTGTTAACTTAGCCCAGGGTCAGCTCTCCAAAGGTATCCTAGCCAGGGTGCCATTAGAGTGCATAACAAGGAGGAAAAGTAAGGACTCAGGCAGTTTCCACCCACTCTGTGATTATGGACAAGATAATAACTCTTTGTGCCTTATTTCCTTATCTAGTAAAATGGGGATAATAATAATAGTTCCTATCTTATAAATATGGATTACGTTAGATAATATTTAGGAAAGTATTCAATATGTATTAGCTTTTTTTGGTTGGATGATGTCTTTAATTTTTTCAATTATGGTTGGTGTATTAGCTACTAATGAAAAGCATCTAACATCATCTAGCAGATCAGAAAATATTTCCCTTAAGAAGGGATATTTAAAATGAGGCCTGAAGGTGATGTGGGAATTAGCAGGTTGAATCTGTGGCATGCTTAAGGAAATAAAATTTAAAAAAGGAAAAGGCCAATGAGCCTGGAAAATTATAAGTGCAGGGCTAGGTAGGAGATGTGGCTGGACAGCGTGAAGTGTGAGATCACGGAGAATATTATGGCCATTTAAGAATGAGGACATCATCCTTAGACAATGGGAAGCCACTGAACTTTTGTTAAACAGAATAATGACATGGTAACACTAGAGCTTCAGAAACATGATACTGGAAGCAGAATGGGTTGAAAAGGGCACTGCAAGGATAGGCTAAAAGGGTAACACGTTGCTCATTGTAGGGAATGGGAATATGGAGGTTCATTATATTAGTCTCTTCTTTAAAATATTTTTTTAATTGATTTCAGAGAGGAAGGGAGGAGAGAGAATTTGTGTACCTTTGAAATTTTTGCACTAAACAGTCTTTTTAAAGTGTACAGTGAGACCAATTAGGAGGCTATTGCAGTAGCCCAGATAAACGATGATGGTGATTTGCAGTCATGTGGTGGCAGGGAATGGAGATAAGGGATGGATCTGAGAGATGTTTTGGAGGTAAAACCAGCATGGTTTAATGATGAATTTGATGTTGGGACGTAGGGAGTGCTCTGAGTGTAGAATGATTCTCATATTTCTGCCTTGCCATTCCAAGTGGATCCAGAGAGGTAAGGCAACATATGAAGAGGCCCTACTTTGGGGAAGAGATGATGACTTTAACATCTTCATTTTGGAGTGTCTGTGTAAACTTCAAAAGAAAATTTCAGAACACAGTTGGATATATGAGTCCTATAATCCTGGGAGAAGTCTAGTTGTACATGAAAATTTGACGCCATAGAAAAATGCCCAAGAGAGTGTCAACTGATCAAAATAAAGGGCCTCAGAGAAACCCTTCTGCAATTAATCAAATCAAGGCTTCTGAGCAGGATATTTAAGGCTAACCTTAAACAGAAGTAGAAATATATTTCCATTGTGGTAGAAGAGCAAAATATTCAGCACTATAGGTAAATTTGTTGTTGTTGTTTTTAAAGCTTTTATTTTTTAAAATATATACTAGAGGCCCAGTGCATGAAATCCATGCACGGATAGGGTCCCTAGACCTGGCCCCCACCTCCCCGCCTCCTCCTTCCCTCACTCCCTCAGCACCCTGCTGCTGCTGCTGGTGGTCAGCACTCATCATAGCAAGCAATCGAACTGCTCTCCCGGTCGAACTCCTGAGCTCCCGGTCGAACTCCTGAGGGGACAATTTGCATATTAGCCTTTTATTATATAGGATATATTTTATTGATTTCAGAGAGAAAGGGAGATGGAAAGAGAGACAGAAACATCAATGATGAGAGAGAGAATCATTGATTGGCTGCCTCTTGCATGCCTCCTACTAGGATCGAGCCCACAACCCCAGGCATGTGCTCTTGACCAGAATCAAACCTGGGACCCTTCAGTCTGCAGTCTGACACTCTAACCACTGAACAAAACCACCTAGGGCACTATAGGTAAATTTGGATGTGAGGTGGAAGAAAGTTGAGGGAGTTTTCATCTGATGGCTACTATTTTCCCTCTGAATTAGAAGAATAAGAATGTGAACTATGGAAACAAAGATTTCTGGGCAGCACACAGGGTTAAGTTGAGGTTGAAAATCATGATTTTTCCATGCCACTATTGCCAAACTTCATCACTGTTTTTCTTACTGCTTCGTGCTCACTTTGCATTCTGCATCTTATTATAATCCAACCCATGATTTGATAGACACTCAAGTTATCTCAAACTCTAATAAGATATAGTGTGACTCTTTGCATTATTTTTCTCGATAGGTCTGTGAATACTCAACCAGAATTAAATCTATCAGGCTGGTTTTTCCCCAGGTAAGAATGCCAAATCTAACATGTGAAATTAATCCATAGATTGCTCAATAGAAGTTAATGAATGGCAACTGCCATTCCAAATGTGGGAGAGCAGATGGATCTTTGGTTACATTTAGAAAAATTAGCAGTGGACTAGACCCATTGGGAATGGACATTGGGACCTGCATCCTCCATGAATGAGTGTGCAGATAACAAAAACTCAAAGGTCCTAGAATGATGGCAGGTCAAAAGAGTAAGGGTGTATTAAGGGGGGGAAAAAGGTGTAAGGGTGTATTCAAGACCATTTGGTTGATTCTTCTTGTTTCATCAATGAGAGAACCAAAGCCCAAATCAGATAGATGGACTATCTGTGTACTTCATGTTTAATACAACAGCTTTCCCCTACCCTCTCTGTCTCCATCTTCTTATTCTACCCATCTATCTTTCACTCTGATGCTATAGGGTTTAGGACTTCACCTAATTAAAATTTGAAAGGAGATATCTGTTTAAGAAACTGTGGTACATCTACACAATGGAATACTATGCTGCTGTAAAAAAGAAGGAATTCTTACCATTTGCAACAGCATGGATGGAACTGAGAGCATAATGCTAAGAAAAATAAGCCAGTCAGAGAAAGATAAATATCACATGATCTCACTCATTTGTGGAATATAATGAACAACATAAACTGATGAACAAAAACAGATCCAGAGACAGAGAAACATCGATCAGACCATCAAACCTCAGAGGGAAGGTAGGGGAGGGTGGAGGGAAAGGGGAGAGACCAACCAAAGCACTTGTATGCACGCATACAAGCCTAACCAATGGACACAGACACCAGAGGGTTGAGGGCATGAGTGGGGGGGGGGAGGGAATGGGGGGATAAGGACACATATGTAATACCTTAATCAATAAAGAAAAAAATAAAATAAAAAATAAAAATTTAAATATAAAAAAAGATTATTGATATAGTCCCATAAATGGGACTGCCCATGAACCAGTTCTTTTAGTTTGCATGTTTTTAGAAATTTGTCCATTTCATCTAGGTTATCTAAGATGTTGGTGTATATGTTGTTTATTATATTTTCTTATAATCCTTTTTAATACCTGTAAGGTCTATAGTAATATCCCTACTTCCATCCTGATTTTAATAATTTAAGTCATTTCTGTTTTTTCCTTAGCCAGTCTAGTTAAAGGTTTCTCAACAAAAATGTTCAAAATATGGTTTCTGAAAATAATCAGTGTCAGAAAGTGTACTTTTGTAATGATCTGGCCATTTCTGATAATCTGTTCCACAAAAGAATCATTTTTTTCTTTCACCGATTCTATCATTTTCCTTTCTCTGTATCAGTTGTCTCTGCCCCAGTCTTTATTATTTCTCCCTTCTGCTTGTTTTGGGTTTAGTTTGTTCTTTTTTTCCTAGTTCTTAAGGTAGAAAGTTAGGTTATTGATGTGAGATATTTCATCTTTATTGATGTGAGATATTTCCTTTTTTCAAAAATTATAAATGTTTACAGCTATATATTTCCTCCTGAGTACTGCTTTTCACTGCATCTCATAACTTTTGGTATGCTGTATTTGTATTTTTACCCATCTCAATATATTTTCTCATTTCCCTTGTGAGTTTTTTCTTTGACCTACTAGTTTTCTAAGAATGTTGTTCAATTTTTTCATATTTGGGGATTTTTTCAGATTTTCTGCTACTATTAATTTCTAATTTCAGTCCACTGTCAATGCAAAGATGGTTTGTATGTTTCCAACCATTTTAAGTTTATTGAGATTTGTTTTATGGCCTAACATGATCCTGGAGAATGTTCCATGTGTATTTAAGAATATATATTCTGTTGTTAATTAAAGTGTCCTGTGTGTGTCTGATTTTTTCTGCTGTCTGATCAAATCTGCTGTTGAAATCCTGTAGTTCTTTGTTTGTTTGTTTTTTGTTTTTTCATTTTAGCTATCATACTTCTCAGTTCCAGAAATTCTATTTGGTTCCTTTTCATAATTTCTGTCTCTTTATTTATACTCTCTACTTGTTGAAACAATGTTCTCCTGGTTTCCTTTGGTTCTTGGTTCAAGTTACCTTTGGCTCTTTGAGCATATTTAAAATAGTTGATTTAGAGTCTTTGTCTAATAAGCCCAATGTCAGGGCTTCCCCAGGGACTGTTTTGTTATTTTTTTTTCCTTTGAATGGGCCATACATTCTTTTTCGTTGCATGCCTCATAATTTTTGGTTGAAAATTGGGCATTTTAAATATTATGATGTACTCATTCTGGAAACCAGATTATTTTGTTCCTCGGCCTTTGTTGTTCATGCTCATTGTGAGTTGCAGGTGTTTGTCTATTTAGTGACTTTTCTAAACAACTTTTTAAAGACTGTATTTTTTGTCTTCTTTGGTCTCAGAGGTCTCTGTTCCTTTAGTTTGTAGTTAGGTAATAATTTCACAGAGATTCCGTAAATGCCTAGAGCTGGAGTGGAGGAGATGTTAGAGGACAGTAGAAGAAAGACAAAAAAAGGGGAAAGGAGGACGAGGAAGAAGAGAAGCAGGAGAAAAGAAAACTAAGAAAAGAAGAAAGAAAATCTCAGTCTTTGAAGACTGGCTCTGTATTTGGACTCTCCTTCAACACAGCCCAGATATTTACAACTCTGCCTTAGCCTTCACTTCCTCCTTGCACTCTGCCTGAATAGCAGCAAGAGATTAAATCATTGGGTCTTCACAGATCTTCTTCTGAGCAGGCATCATGGGATCTTATCAAAGCCCTCACTTGCCAAGGAACTCTCTTGCAAACTTTTCCTCCCAGGCTTTCAGCATATTTAATTTTTATTCCAAAACCTAACCTTTTGCCCCAGGTGGCAGGGCTTTGGTCCTTTTTAAAAATATTTTCAAGGAGTACCCTCCACTTAGTCATTTTTCCATTTTGAGAGTTCAAAATTAAGTGAAACAGTCAGTCCTTCAGAAAACTCTTAACAAACACAATTCCTTGGGAATTGGGTCCGCTCTTCTCCCTCTATAATCAGACACTTACACTGAAAACATAATTTGCTGTTTTCAATACAACCACCATATGGGGAGCAACTTGGTACAAGGCTAAGTTAAAAAATATCACATAGCTTTCCTACTCCTCCATATTGAATCATCTTTTTCTCGATTTAACTCTTGCTTGGTTGCTCTAAACCTTTGGCTATCCTTCGGAGTTTTGACAAAGTTGATTCTAGCAGTACGCAGTAACATTAGTACTGAAAACACTTGAGATTATGAAAACTGGGAAATTCTGTGTTCAAAATATGGTTTCTGAAAATAATCAGTGTAAAAAATACTAGGACCATGATATTTTGTCCAAATATAAGATAAATTATTACTCAAAGATCTTGGAAACAGTATAACTAATCTGTAAGCGTACTTTTGTAATGATCTGGCCATTTCTTTTTTTTTTTATAATATATTTTATTGATTTTTCACAGAGAGGAAGGGAGAGGGATAGAGAGTTAGAAACATCGATGAGAGAGAAGCATCGATCAGCTGCCTCCTGCACACCACCTACTGGGAATGTGCCCGCAACCAAGGTACATGCCCTTGACTGGAATCGAACCTGGGACCCTTCAGTCCGTAGGCCAAGGCTCTATCCACTGAGCTAAACCGGTTAGGGCGATCTGGCCATTTCTGATAAGCTGTTTCCCCAGTTTATCATAACCATCAAGGCTTGGGGTTAACAGATGGTAGGTCACTAAGGATGGAAACTGACCCAGGTATAGGTGATCTCGTCCCAAAGTCATACACTTGCCACAGTCCCAATCAGCACGATTGTAGATGACTTGGGTTTAGGGGGGTTGTGGTGGTAGAGAGACAAATTAGTGGTTGCTTCAAATGTGGCAATGAGCAGGACCACAGGGGAGCCATTTTTGCATGCAACAATCTGTCCTCATCCCAAGGAATGAATAGGCACTTTAGAACCTTATCTGCTTTCTGAGCCAGGATTCAACTACTCTGAGATCGGCTGGAGGTAGTGAATAGAGCTCCTCTGGACACCTGCAGCCACTGGTTTCATGGGAATGAACCATTCAGGACAGAAAGGACAGTGAGATCTGAGAGTGCATCTGCTTCTCAGTGGAGAGATCTCCCAGAGCCCAATCTCCTGAAGAAACCTACTTCAGTCCAGTCCTTCATTCAGGGCCCAATAGCAGTTGAAGCAGCTCTGGCAGGACTCCCAACAGAAATCAACTGTTCCATCTTTCTGGATGACCTGAGAGACCCTGTCACCATTGAATGTGGGCACAACGTCTATAGCTCCTGCATCCAACAGTCCTGGGCTGATGTACAATACAGGGTTCCTTGCCTGTATTACACATGCCAAGAGAGGTGCTTGAGGAGCAACACCCAGCTGGGAAGGATGATTGACATCGCCAATCTCCTCCAGACCATCAGGGGCAAGAAGAAGCAGCAGGAAGAGAGGGGTTTGTGCAAGAAGCACAACCAGGTCCTGACCCTCTCTGTGAGGAGGACTTAGAGCTGTTGTGTCCCATGTGCACTCAGCTCCCTGTCCACCAGGGCCACCAGGTGAGGCCCATGGGGGAGGCTGCCTGTCATCACAGGCTGAGGCTCTACAGTTACATCAGTAAGCAGATGACCCACGTTCAGAAGTTAATAAGCATTCAAAGCAAAAAACTCATAGAACTGAGAGAGAAGGTGCAAAACAGGAACAGAAATTAGCCTCTGAATTTGAGTCTCAATTTGCTGGGGTCCAATCCCAGCGGGTCCAGGGGTCCCCAAAGGTGTGGACGGAGTCGGCGAAGAAGGAATGACACGAAGACAGCCTTCAGTTGATCAGCAGCCTAGTCAGGACCTCTAGCCAGGATCTCCTGCCAAAGTTCTGGTCGGAGTTCTGGTTAGGAACTGACGAGGATCTGATGTTTATTGTCTTGTTACATCTGTATTTATACCAGCCGATTTTAATCCTGTCAATTTCTATTACAAAGGTTAGGGCGTTTCTTATCTCCATTCCAGGGAGTAAAGATTATGTAGCTTAACTACCCGCCTGGCACTTAATTAAGGGATTGTATCCCCTCCCTAACCTCAGGGAAAAATCCCCACCTGGGGAAACAACCTTTTTGGAGAGGTGACCTTGGTTAAAACACATGGCGCTAAAGAGAGCAAACATATTAAGAACAATATGCTATATATGCCAGGTCCCTTGAAACATATGCTGTGCAGATGTTTCTTTCCTGCAGCGACTGTGTCAAGCAGCAAGGATGGACCGGCTCCCGGCATCAATTTATAGAGTGAAAGCAAGAGGAAGTTCTCTCAAGGCTAGCTGAAGAAGAGAAGGACATTCAACAGAAACTCATTGCAAACACAACTGCATTTTCAGGCCATCTTTCCAACTTCAAAGGTGTACAAAAGGAGGTGGCAGAGAAGAATGTGATGCCAGATGTGAAATTGCTGATGGATATCAAGAGTGTCCTCCACTGTTGTGATAACCTGAAACCCCCAGCTATCTATTGGTGCCAGTTAAGGAGAGAAGAATTTAGTCTTCCTCCGCAGTGTTCAGCCCTGCAGAAAATTATAGAGATTTAGAGAAGTTATCTTGGATCCCAAGACTGCACATCCTAATCTACTTGTGACTTAGGATAAAAAGTCTGTGAGATTTGTGAGGAAAAAGCAAAGTCTTTGTCAGAATCCAAAGGGATGTGCTGTCGACCCAGTTGTCCTGGGTTCTGAAGGGTTTGACTGTGGCCAACATTACTGGGTGGTCCAGGTAGATGACAAGCCTCAGTGGGCTGTGGGGGTTTGAAAAGACTTCCTTAAAAGGAAGAGAAAGCAGCACCTGCCAAGACAAAAGAACAGATGTTGGACGATTCAGCTGCAGAATGGTGATTATGTGGCACCAGGGTCTGTTCCTGTCACCCTTGTTCTGAAGGAAATGCACAGAGGGATTGGCATCTATCTGGACTATGAGTTGGGTCAGGTTTCGTATTATAGTTTGAATGACATTTGAATGACATGTCTCACATCTATTCCTTCATGGATACATTTTCTAAAGTGCTAAAGCTTTACTTCTATATCTGATATGACTCCAAACCTCTTACAATCTGTGCTGTAAGAGATTAGGAAGGATGAACTGTGACTTTGCTTCATTTTCTTCCTGTGATTTATGGACAGTATGTAGCATTTTGTATAACTATCAGTGACTCTAGCACCGATAAAGAATATTATTTAATGCTTATTTGACTTTACATACATGAACAATGTTTTTCTTATTTTGTTTTCTATTTTTTTAAATTTTGTTTCAATAGCAGTAGAGATGTTGTGGGAACTAACAGATGTGGGGGTTAACTGTCAAGTGTTTCCAGTATAAATTGTGTATAAAGTGTATAAATAAAGTGTATAAATTGTAAAATAAAAAAAAGGCTTAGGGTTAAAAGGAAATGCTGCAATCAGACACAAGATTTATATATAAGTAATATCTACTACAATGTTATCAAAAGGCATTTTGTTCATAAATCTTATGTCTTTCTTACAGAGCATCCACGAATGCAACTACCAACTGGTTAGCTCCAGTTGTGTGGCATGGCACTTATAAAGAAGAAGTACTGGAAAATTATTATGCACATCATAAAATTACTGTGGGGCTGACTGTGTTTGCTGTGGGAAGGTAGGTAATACTATGTATCCTTTACATTCAGGCCTTTTATTGTAGAAAATTAGATATTATCAATAATTCCACCTAAAAAATCTAGAAAAAGTAGAGCAAAATAAAGCCAAAGCAAGCAGAAGTAAGGAAATAATAAAGATAAGAACAGAAATCCATGAAATTGAAACAGAAAAGCTATAAAGAAAACTCATGAACAAAAAGCTCGTTCTTTGAAAAAAAATTCACAACCATCCATTTATTTTCTGGCAAAGAAAAAAAATGACACAAATTACAAATATCAGGAAAGAAACCAGTTATATTCCTCAGACCTTCAGATATCAAAAGGTTTATCAGGGAATACTACAAAACACTCTACACACATACATTTAACCACTTAAATAAAATGGGCTCTGAAAACCACAAACTACCATAACTTACCCAACATGAAATAGATCATTTGAATAGCCCTATATCTACTGAGGAAATAAAATTTATAAATTTAAAATCTCCCAAAGTCTACAGGTCCACATGGTTTCATTGAAGAATTCTACCAAATATTTAAAGAAGAATTAACATCAATTCTATACAATCTCTTACAAAAATCAGAAGAGGAGGGAACACTTCCCAATTCACTTAATGAAGCAAGTGCTGCCCTGATAGTGAAATTATACCAAAAAAGTACAAGAAAGTATTACATAAAGTTGAACAATGTATCTATTATTCATTAAAATTATAGTTTTTAGTAACATGTTATTAAATAGATAGTTATCTATATATATAAAAGGCTAATATGCAAAGTGTCCCCTTGGGAGTTCAACCGGGAGACTGGGAGTTTGATCGCTCGCTATGACATGCGCTGACCACCAGGAGGCAGCATGGAATGAAGGAAGGCCCTGGCCAGCAGCCGGGGAAGGGAGGCCCTGGCCGGTAGCTGGAAGGCCCCAATTGGCCCTTATCGCTGGCCAGGCCTAGGGACCCTACCCGTGCACAAATTTCGTGCACTGGGCCTCTACTTTTTTATAAAGAAAATCCACAGAAAGAGGAAGGAAGAAAAAGCCCAGCTGGCGTGGCTCAGTGATTGAATGTTGACCTATGAACCAGGAGGTCATGGTTCAATTCCCAGTCAAAGCTCATGTCTGGGTTGTGGGCTTGATCCCCAGTGGGGGGCATGCATGAGGCAGCCAATCAATGATTCTCATTATTGATGTTTCTATTTCTCCCTTTTTCTTCCTCTCTGAAGTCAATAAAATTATATTTTAGAAAGAAAGAAAGAAAGAGAGAGAGAGAGAGAGAGAGAGAGAGAGAGAGAGAAAGAAAGAAGGAAAGAAAGAAAGAAAGAAAGAAGAAAGAAAGAAAGAAAGAAAGAAAGAAAGAAAGAAAGAAAGAAAGAAAGAAAGAAAGAAAGAAAGAAAGAAAGAAAGAAAGAGGGAGAGAAGGAGAGAGGGAGTGAAGGAGGAAGGGAGAAAGGAAGAAACAAAGGAAGGAGCAAAGGACTTGTGAGCCTTGTTTTTTCAAAGTTCCCTGATAGCTGTTCTGAGGTTTTGAACAACCTTATGAAAGCATCTTGCAATCATAAGAACCACAAGCGCTGGGCCAGCCACATTGTTGGTAGGGAAATGTCTGTGTGTGTGTGTGTGTGGTGGCGAGGGGTGGGGGAGTGGAGGGGGGGTGTCTCACCACAAGTAGTAGGGCTCCAGATGAGCAGCTCCAGACATTCCTAGCCCTTGAATCATTATCAATAGGCTGAGACTGACACAAAATAGCCCTATATCATGCCATACTCAAAAATTAATCCAAATGGATTATAGACTTAAATGTGAAAGATAAAACAATAAAACTACTAAAAGAAAATGTAGATTTTCACTACCTTAAGGAGGCAAAGCTTTCAGAAACATGACACAAAAGCACTAACCATAAAGAAATATGGATAAATTGGACTTTTTTAGATTTAAGTTGCTAGCTTCCAAGATTTCATTCAATTTATTACTAATGGTCCATTGTATATGTATATATACCATATCTTCTTTATCCATTCATCTGTTGATAGACACTTAGGCTTGGCTATTGTAAATAATGCTGCAATGAACATGGGATGCATATATCTCTTCCAATTAGTGTTTTTGTTTTCTTTGCATAAATGCCCAGAACTTAATTTTAATGATTATATAAACATTATCTGAAGCTGAGCCACATATGATTACCTTTAACTTTTAAAAATTTACCTGAGGCTATTTATTACTCTGAGACTCTTTTACTGGCTTGAGAGACTAGAAATGAGAAAGTTTATTTTCCAATCCAGTTATCTTAGCACAGTACTAAAGGCCACAAAGCAAAATAAGAAAGTCAGTGCAGATATTGGGGTATGAATTATTTCACCTCTGACTGTTTATACATAACTGACTACTCATAAAGTGAGCTACAGACAGCAATAACTGCTTTTACAACGACCCAAGGCCTTTTTCGCCTACAATCTTCAGAGCAAGTTCCCATTGCTCTGATATCCCTGAAAACTCTGGCTCTCACCTTGCACTGGGCTCTGTGCAGTTCCTAATCTCACCAATTTCATTCACTCTTGTGAGGAATTCCTTTTCTCTCCCATAATCCACAGAACCCATTAGGAAGAGCAAAGGCAGATAATTTCACTTTCTTTTATACTGCTTAAATACAACTCAAGAAGCATATTTAATATTTGGTTGCTTAGTAGCACTTTTGGGTAAACTATAGTCAGTATAATTAAAATATTATTGTGTTCCACTAAAATATAAGAAAATGAACATGTTTCTTTTTTACTTCACAGATATATTGAATTCTATTTGTTCAACTTTATATCATCTGCTAATAAGCATTTTATGGTTGGCCAGAAAGTCATAATTTATGTTCTGACAGATAATTTGTCCAAGTTTCCTTGGATACAGCTGAGTCCCCTCCGGACAATCAAAGTTTTTGAAATTAAGCGAGAGAAGAGATGGCAAGATATTAGTATGATGCGCATGAAGACCATCAGCGAGCATGTTGTAGATCACATACAATATGAAGTTGACTACCTCTTCTGCATGGACGTGGATCAAGTCTTCATGCAGAAATATGGATTAGAGACCCTAGGGGAGTCAGTGGCTCAGATGCATTCTCATTGGTATAATGCACATCCTATAAAGGTACCTTATGAGAGAAATAACTTATCAGAAGCATACATACCTATTGGTAAGGGAGACTTTTATTACCATGCCGCTGTATTTGGTGGCACTCCCATTCAGGTTCTCAACATTGCCAGGGAGTGCTTCAAAGGAATCATGAATGATAAGAAAAATAACATTGAAGCGGTGTGGCATGATGAAAGTCACCTAAACAAGTATTTCTTTCTCCATAAACCTACTAAACTCTTATCTCCGGAATATAGCTGGGATATTGGTAAAAAACGTACTGGTGAAATTAAAGCTATTAAAATCCGTTGGGCTCCTAAATATTATAACATTCTTAGAGCAACACATAATATTGAAGCCCTTCCTTTACAGTTCTGAATTTAAGAGCATTGTTTTGTCTTATATCTTAGATAATTAGCACTTGACAAAACTTAGCACTAAAAAGTCACTAACAAAATGGCAAGCCCACCAACATAGCATACTCATACTTTCATTTTGAACTGTGTAAAATGAGATGTAGCAGTTGCAAAAAGAATGTGTTGACAACAGATGATAACATAGCTATTTCATATTCTCTGTGAATGTTGAGGATATATTATTTGTTGGATCACATTCAACAAAATAGAACCTGTCACAAGAAAGTGAAACTTGAAATATTTTCATTGATCAAAGTAGGTATATATGCATTTCTCATATTGCTTAAGGAAAGGGATTATCTAAAAGTGTGGGTAAGGGAAAGTCACTGCAACTATACTAATATACTCTCTATGTAAAACTTTGAGGACATTAAAGCTGCCACCAGATGGGCAGACAATTACTTAGGAAATTTTGAATCATTCAAAAAGAACTATGTATTTTAAAACTTACAAACTTTTTGTTATAAAAACTAATGAAAATAAAAATAATATACGAGAAAATTGAAAGCCTCCCTTTACTCTCCCTTTGAAAACCTGCCCCTCAATATCCTATATAATAAACGGTTAATATACAAATAGACCAAACAGTGGAACAACCAGAACAACCGAACAACCGGTCTCTATGACATGTGCTGACCACCAGGAGGCGTGTGCGGAACATGGCAGGCGTCAGTCACAGCAGGATGGTGGAGCAGGTGAGTGGAGGCACCAGACCAAGGCGGGGTGCTGGTCGTTGCCATTGGGGCGAGCCTCTGGTGGTTACTGAAAATTCTTTGCTCCCACTCACGCTGCGGTCCCGCCCAGCGCTTGCACCTGCTGCTAGTGCTGGCCCTGCTTGCACCAACTGCCAGGGCCCAGTGCCATCCCCAATCACTCAGTGCTATCAGCGGGTGCAACCTGTGGCTGCTGGCCCCAATCACTGCTCAGGGCTTCTCCACCTCCTTCTGCTCCTGAGAGGAGATATGGACCAGCAGCCGCCTCTCACACCCACTGCCTGCGATGGCCCTGCTCGCACCCGCTGCTTTTGCCGGAGCCACTGCTCCCACCCACTGCCAGTGCTGGCCCTGCTTGGTCCTGATTGCTTGGCATCATCAGCGGGTGTGAGCAGCAGCTGAGGCCTTCTCCACCTCCCCCTGCTTCTGAGAGGCGATCAGGACAGCAGCCACCTCTTGCACCCGCTGACGGTGCTGCTCCCGCTTGCACCTGCTGCTGGTGCCAGCCCCAATCGTTCTGTGCCTTTAGCAGGTGCAAGCGGGGCTGGTGCCATCAGCACATGGGAGCGACGGTGGCGGGAGTGGGGCTGCGACAGACAGGGGACCGGGGACCATGCCTGGAGGGGCCGGGCAGGGGCGCAGAGGATGGGCCGAGACCCGCCCCTGTGCCTACCGTAGCCTTGCAGCCCACAGTTCCTTTCAAGGTGCACAAATTCATTCACTGGGCCCCTAGTCCTATATAATAAAAGCATAATATGCCAATCGACCAAATGGCAGAATGACCTGTCACTATGACACGCACTAACCACCAGGGAGAGAATGCTCAACGTAGGAGCTGCCTCCTGGTGGTCAGTGCGTTCCCACAGGGGGAGCGCCACTGAGCCAGAAGGTGGGCTCAGGGCTGGCAAGAGCAGTGGTGGTGGCAGGAGCCTCTCCCACCTCCGCTGCAGGTGGGCAGTAAGGAGTGAGGGGTCCTGGACTGTGAGAGCCCTGGACTGCAAGAGGGATGTCTTACTGCCGGCTTAGGTCCAATCCCCAAGAGGATCAGGCCTAAGCTGGCAGTCAGACACCCCCCAAGGGGTCACGGACTGTGAGAGGGCGCAGGCCTGGCTGAGGGACTCCCCCTCTCCCCACACAATGCATGAATCTCATGCACCGGGCTCTAGTTCTTTTTATATGCGCTTATATACCCACCACATGAACACACACACACACACACACACACACACACACACACACACACATGCTGTGTGCTTATATAATATTTATACAAATTGATTTATTGCACACATACATACATGCACACACATTTATCAGTAGTCAGGGTCCAGTTAGAAAAACAAACTACTATTGTAGGTATTCCAAACAGTAGCAATTAAGATAGTGAATTGGACATATAGATGATAAAAGAACTGAGATGTATACAAGGGGGAGTGAGGCAATCCACAATATTATTTTAATGAAGGTAATAGCAGTTCTAGGGCTGGAGGAGAAATTGTAAGATGTCCAAAAAGAGCTACAACCCAGCATGAGTCACCTGGCATGAGTTGGGACAACATAGAAGTTCTAGTCATTTCTAAAGATGCCATTCAATATGCATAGCCCATGGACACAGACATTAGTGTGGTGAAGGCCTGAGGTGGGAAGGGCTGGGTTGAGGGGGTAGAGAGGGAAATGGAGGACATCTGTAATACTGTGCTTTTCCTTTAAGCTCTCTGGTGTCATTAGATACAGCTATTTCACATGCCAGTTGGTCCTTGATATCTTTATATCCTTCATGTCATTAAATAAATTAATATATGTGTGTAGTATAGTCTCTGGTGCATAAGTGTTATCATCATCATCATCATCATTGTATATTTTTATGGCAGGAACTATTATTGCCCCAAAGACTTTGCCTTTGATGAACATCTCCTTCATGGGATAATTTAATTAACTGTTTAATACTATAGTCCGAAGATTGCCTGAAATCCATCTCTGAATACTAATGTGAGTTTTCTATTGCCTTTAACCCAAACAAGGCCTGATAATGAATTTTAGGTTCCCTCTTTACCCCAAGTGTATGTTGCCTATAACCCCCTTTCTTTCTCTGGTACCAATACCTGGATTTGTCAGAGCATTGAAACTGACTCTGATTCATCTAAACAGAGAATTTATGGAATGGCATGTTGGATGGGGAAATTCAACCCTCAAATCTTAGTGGCCTAATATAAAAAAGTTTCTCATTCACCTACATATCTGGTGAGGGCTGGAGCCAGGCAATTACTCCATATTGTCACTTGGGGACCCAGAACAATGGAGGGTCTTCCATCTGTGGTATTGCTAGTTAAAATGTCAGGGGAAGACACTAGAGAACCATACAAGAGCTTATCGGTGCCTCAGCCTGGACTTATTGCATGCACCTGCCTGTGCAAAAGGGCTAGAAAGTAGAGTCTGCTATTTGCCTTCGAAGGAAGGGAGATCTAGAGAGTGGTGAGTAATAGTAATGGTTCTGACCCTACAGAAGGGTCAGAAGCAGTTCACAGTACTTAGGAAAAGCTGCTGAAAGATAAATATAAAGGAACTAAGGGAGGAAACGCATGGATAAAATCTTGCCATAGGTGACCCCTCACTTATTATCTCCCTGCTGACCTCCATACTCTTAGAAACATCTGCCATGTTAGTCCTTGACTATATTACAAATAATCTCAAACTGACCTACCTTAATGTTCAAAGTCCAAGGTAGGATAATCTGGTAAGCATACCTGGTAGTTTAAGTCATGTGCCCATGTTTTAGCTACAAGGGGCAGGGACAGGAAATTTCTGCCCATTTCAGCTTCCATACTGGACTGAATTTAGGATTCATGCTAAATAAAGTGCATTCAGATTCCAGGCAACCAAAACATAAAAATGTGTATATTTAAGAATTTTATATAAAAAAAGCATACAGTATGTGCTATTTTTTTTTTTGGCCTGGCCTTTTTTTACAGTATAATTATTTTGAGGCCCATCTATGTTCATACATGTATCAATACTCTGTTCTTTTTTATATCTGAGTACTAACCCACGGCTTGTTTATCCATTCACCTGTTGACAACCATTTGGGTTGTTTCCACCTTTTGGCCACTGCCAAGAAAACGACCATGAACAATCATAAATAGATCTTTTTTATAAACATATGCTTGCATTTCTCTTGGGTAAATATCTAGATGAAGAATTGCTAGATTGTATGGTTAATTTATTGATTTTTTTATAGAGAGGAAGGGAAAGGGATAGAGAGTTAGAAACATCGATGAGAGAAAAACATCCATCAGCTGCCTCCTGCACACCCCCTTCTGGGGATGTGCCCACAACCAAGGTACATGCCCTTGACCGGAATCGAACCTGGGACCCTTCAGTCCGCAGGCCGATGCTCTATCCACTGAGCCAAACCGGTTAGGGCTACAATGACTCTTAAACATGCAAAAGGATGCTCAACATCAACCATCCTATATAATAAAGAGCTAATATGCTAATTAGACTAGACGGCAGAATGACCTTCCAGAACGACCTTCCAGAATGATCAGTGGGTGCAGGGCGGGGCCGTGGGGCCGTGAGGCAGCCGGAGCAGAGAGGCAGCTGGGGCCGCAAGAGCTGAGCCCCTTGCACGAATTTTGTGCATCGGGCCTCTAGTCTATAATAATAAAAGCTAATATGCTAATTAGACCGGACAGCTGAATGACATTCTGGATGTCCTTCCGGATGAAGCCACGGTGGCGGGGGCCGAGGCAGAGGTGATTAGAGACAATCAGGCAGGCAGGCAGGCAGAGTTGTTAGGGGCAATCAGGCAGGCAGGCAGAGTGGTTAGGGGCGATCAGGCAGGCAGGCAGGTGAGCAATTAGGAGTCAGAGGTCCTGGATTGCGAGAGGGATGTCCGACTGCCAGTTTAGGCCCAATACCACCTAAACCAGCAGTCAGACATCCCCTGAGGGATCCCAGATTGGAGAGAGTGCAGGCCGGGCTGAGGGACCCCCCCTCACCCCCCATGCACAAATTTCATGCACCGGGCCTCTAGTATATAATATAAAAAACCAGCAAACTGTTCATAGTGGCTACCATTGGAGATGGGGGAATGGGAAGAGTCAGGTGCTGAAGGGAGAAAATGATATAGTATACATAACCTTTTTTTCTGTTAGAATTATTTTACTGTGTCTTTCTTTTTCAATATGAAAAACTAATTTTTTTAAATATTTTATTGATTTTTTACAGAGAGGAAGGGAGAGGGATAGAGAGTTAGAAACATCGATGAGAGAGAAACATCGATCAGCTGCCTCCCACACACCCCCTACCGGGGATGCACCCGCAACCAAGGTACATGCCCTTGATCGGAATCGAACCTGGGACCCTTCAGTCCACAGGCCGATGCTCTATCCCCTGAGCCAAACCTGTTAGGGCAAAACTAATTTATTTTTAAGGAAGGACAAAATAAAGGTGCCTGCTACCTCAAATTAAAAGTGATTATCTCAGGACAGTGTGATTACGTTTGATTATCATTTTTCTTCTTTGTGCTTTTATGCACTTGACAAATTTAATAACATGAAAATGTGGTACTTCTATAATCAGAAAATAAGTACATTTAAGAAAGCATAAGAAGGAATTAGCTTTACCTTCAATAATTGGACAATGCCTAATGAGGCATTGAAGAAAAAAATGTTGCACTTTTGTGTTATTCATATGCATGCATATACACACACAGCACACCAAAATATATTTGAGTTAAAAAATCAATCATTGAAAACAGCAAGAAGTACAACAACAAAAACTAAAAGC